CACCTGGCGCGGCCAGGCCCTGCGGCTCGGCACAGACACCTTCCGTCCGGCTCCGGGTAAGGTGTGCGAAGCGGGAGGTAAGACAGGGTAGCAGGGCAGGGACCGGTAAGAAGTTGAAGGGGCAAGGAGACCCACAGGTGGGATGCCTTGTCTAAATAAACAGCCACTTGTTTGCTAAGTGGAAAGCACTTACTCCTGGCAGTGCTACACAGAGGGATGCTAACATTTCCCATGGGTTTGAAAGGAGAAAAAGGGAAAACCGACAATGCTGGTACAGAAGGAATTGGTACAAGAGAATGCAATGAGACAAGTATAATTTAATTTATTTGTTTTTATTCTTCTTTTTCTCTCTCTGCATATTGTGTACATCCTGCTTCTCTTTTTAACATCCCACTGGTCTAAACTCATGTTTGTCTCTTTAAAACATTCCGCATATAGTTCTGCCTCAGATTTTGTTAGAATAAAGTTGCTCTTTATAATTTTTCTACTTCGTTCAAACTATATTCAACCATAGTTTGCCTTTCTCCTTTGGAGCTAACTATCTTGATGCTCTTGCAGTTGGATAGAAACCAAAGCTTGGTGTCCCATTATTCACCCTATCTGACAGATAATAAATCTGTAGGCTTGGGAGAGACACTCTGATTCCTCTGTTCTCAGTCTGCAAAATGAAGGTGTTAAAATGTCCCCTTTTTTCCCCCCCTTTTCACTTTAGATGCCAAATTCTTCAGAACAGGGGATTTTACACCTACTTGGTTAATCAATAGACACCAGTACAAAAATACAGACACCAGTAGAAATCTAAATTTATGTATCTTCATACCAAAATCATAGAATCATAGATGGTTTAGTCTGGGATCCCTCATAAAGTCTTAGCTACAAACTAACTCTTAGATGACCCAAACTCTTCTAAGTAGAAAACAGTCACTGAGTACTCTAAACACTACAGAAAAAAAACTGAATTACTAAAGAAATAACTGCCAAGTTAAGCAATTGTATAAGCTACAGTGCACTGGCTTCTAAACTAAAATAGGCCAGTTTGTTTCATACAGGCTTGCTACAGTATGACACCTGTGTACTGCTCAGGAATCAGAAGACCTGTTTAGAGTATGACATTAGATCTGGAGAAGCTCTTTCTCAGATTGAATAAGCTTCAATCATAGATTATGCCACTCAGCTGTTTATTTTGTAAAAGCATCTCCTCCTATCAGTGGGTACAGTTTCCAGGTGGGTTTGAAATAAACACACACTGAAATAATCCATACAAAGGAGCAGGAGCTGCTAATTGGCTGTTTAATCAGTCCTGGTTCTAGGACTTATTTTCAGCCACTGATTATGAGAAGGTGTCTTAGCAGGAAGGAGACAGCACAGAGTCCTTGTGCTGTGGATCCTTATCAGACAGGTAAATCTTCATCATTTTGGTACCTACAAAATAGGTAAATTATCATCCAGCAAATACCCTTCCTTAAAAAGTTCTTGGGTTTATAATTCTGCAGTATAATATATATACAGGTATTTTCATCTGTAGGGTACATATCAAACTTTTTCCTCTGCCATCTGAATAAATAGTGAGTGTTTTCACAGTTAGTAAAAATTTTTGGAGACAAGATTAAATGTCATAACAAGCCAAAATTGTCCCTTTGGATGGGTCAGCTGCAAACGTCTCAATGTCAAGTGGCAGGAGCTGCTTCTATCCATCTATCTTCTAGGGTGATTGACAGAAGCAGCCTTAACGAGTGTTCCAGGCTGAAAGTTACTGCTCTCACAACTAGCCCTGAGACCTAGCAGGAATATTCACAGCTAGGAAAGGATTAGCACCAGCTTTATTCACCCTCTTCTGGTAAGCACACGTGGTCTCTTCTGTGTCTCTGAGGCAACCTAGGTGCTATTGCACCTGTTAGTTATAAGGTATTAAATGTTGATTAATTTTATCAATACACATCCAGAAAGTGCTCCCTACAGCAGCACTATTATATCACAGATAAGTATCATTTCCATCACCTCTAAACAGTCCTGTCTCTTTATGATTTTTAAGATTCATAATTGATATTTCATTTCTTATTTCTCATATATATTATTAGAAGCATTTAATTTCTTTGGATAAGATCTGGTGAAGTCCTGAGGGAATATTTCATGTCTCTTGCAGATTATGTTTAAGGGATTTAACAGTGCTGGAAATTTCTCAGATTTCATATGAACTTGCCTGAACATAAGAAAAAAGGGAGACTTGGTCTGGGAGATGCTGCGTCCTTCAATACCTAAGGAAAACCCTCCCATCAGGTGTTCAGCAACTAGTTTGATAAGGCCTGAAATCAGTGCCTGAAACTTAATTTTGTTGAAAATCAAGACATATGGATACAAATTAGTGGTTGTGTTACCTTGGGAATGTTGATGAAAGAGCTTAACCCCATCTGATTTGTCTTTTCTTAGCAAGGCAATTTAATTTTCTACTGATAAGCCAGAGTTGGTGCTGATTTAAAATTCTTTACCAGTCTTTTTATTTATCAGTCTTCAGTTTCAGAACTTTTTTTATACAATTAACAGGGCCTTTAGCTTTGGTACACTCAAGGAAGCAGATAAAGACATAAACGTGAGTGTTACTTTCACAAAAAGATGTACTTGTGAAGTAAAAATGAAGAGGATGTCAGGTAATGCATCATTAAACAAAACCTCATTATCTAACAGTTGTGTAGCTGTCAAATCTCTTTCCCATGGCCTATTCATAGGAATTCCTGGGTAGTCTCTAACTTGATGAAACCACAGTCCAAATAAAATGCTGTTTTCTCTGAATTTTATACTGACTTCCTTTCTATAATAGATTATGGATCTCCGAACTGAACTGCAGTAATTTATATATATATATATATGGTCTAATATATATTGCTATGGTTGATGTTATAATACTGGCTTTAAAAGAATACAAAATTGCCACACTGCAACTTTGAAAATTTAGAAATAAAGTTTAATTTTCCAGTTGTGAAACTGAGGAAAAGTTTTACTCTGTTAAAAAGTAACTTGGTAGAAAATGTTAATCTATCGATAAACTACAGTAAATTATATTGCTATAATAAAAGTATAAATGAAAGAGATCAGTATAATATATGTTGTATTAAATAGTCATTATATTCTGGTTTTACAGTGTTGTTCATGTACTTCACAAGTATGTCTACTGCCCAGACTACTGATTGTCTACACTTGAGGGAGCAATGTATAAACGCTGCAAATGGATGTGAGAGTGTCTGGAATATTGCTGAAGATATCTGCAATATATCAGGTAATTCTTTATGGTGTACAAAGCTTTATTTCAAATTGCTGAATGGTTGCATACTCATAGTTTATCACAATATTGCTGTGGTGACTGAATGAAATCAGTAAGATTTCAAGGAGAAATACAGTCAACTTCTGAAATCTTAGACAATGGCCAATGCTATTTTCAGTAACAGTCCCCCTGTCTCTTCAAGAAGGTAATAAATAAAATTTCTGAATTGCGAAGAAAGTCAGAGCCTGAAACAAATCAAGAAGTCTGGATTCAGCAGAAGTTATGCTCTTGTGGGATTGTGTTAAACAAAGCCAGCATGCAGCTGGAAAAAAGTTCCAACCTTGCTTTCCATAATTCAGAGGGAGCTGACCTGCTCCCTCCCTGGAAGTGTTCAATGGCAGGTTGAATGGGGCTTTGAGTAACCTGATCTGGTGGGAAATGTCCCTGCCCATGGCAGAGGGCTTGTAACTAGATTATTATTAGGGTCCCTTCTATGATCTATGATCTCACATGATACCTAAAGCAGTGGGTAGTTGGTTGATTTTCAAATATTGTAAGGGAGATATTCTATATTCATTCAGTGACTAGTACCTATATGTCAGAGTGATTCACTTGCAGGGAGTGATTTTATGATAAAGTGACTCAACCTCCTTGAATTGCTAAACAAATTCTCACTTAAATGAAAGCAGAAAATCAGTCTCTGTCTCTGTTTATTGCACTTCCAAATCTTGGTGCATAATTTCCAAGTAAACTATATTCTAAATGAGGGAAGACCAGGTATTATAGATTTGACCTGAAACTCATCCTAATCTCTGTTGTCATTCAGAGGAAATGTTCTGTTATCTGAAGGTCTGTTATCTTCTTGAACAAATCTTGGATTTCAGTCACCATCTCTCTCTTTCTTTAAATGTCTCCAAGACCTTGCTCTTAAATGTTGAGTATTCACTTGCCAGGTGCTGTGAATATGGAAGGGAGAAGAAGAGTTCTAATGTCATTAGACTAAGCAAGTAATAATGTCTTTGTTGACTGATAATTGCCATGGACCTTGATCTGCCAAGGTTACATCAGTACTAGCAAGTAAAATGGGCCAAGGACTATTTTCTGGCCCTGAGTTCACCTGTCAAGGTGCAACACGTAATAAACAGCAACTAAACTGTCTTCCCCCTAAGCTGGCTGGACAAAACTGCCTTTTGGGAGTGAGTCCAGGCCCAAGCTATCTTTACAGCCTGGTGGGCTCAGTGCGGACCAGTTGCCATGCAGAAGTGCAACAGTATAGACAGTCACTATCATCGTAGCCCATACCTTGATCCTACTCATGAGAACAGCCAAGGTTTTTTGGGTTCATAACAGCCATTTCCAGCAACTTAATTACATAAGGCAGGTTCTCTGTCACTGGGAATCAGAGGTATCTGTATCTCCATGGAAACCTTCCTTTTCCATATATTGACATTATTTGAACAACACCAGCCATGTCCTGATGCCATAATCTATTTTGAGCTTCAGCTGCAGCAGAGTTGATGAAGTGAATGTCCTTCTGTCTCACTGTCAGGACCCAGCCTTGTGTTTGGACTGTGTAGGAAGCCAGGCAGCAGAAGATAGTGATTGACTTAATCCTGCAGTGTGAGCTACCTGAATGTCTCTGCCTGTCTGGTTTGCTGCAGAGATCTGAACCCAAGCATCCTAATTCACAGGACAGTATTCAAACTAATTAGAGCAGAAAATTCTCTGAGGGGTCCTTCTTAGTGTGTTCTGTTTCAGATACCTATCTGCTTTGCACAGAATGGCTGAATATATTTAAAAACTGACAAAGTAAATGAAAAATACATGACAACTTAATGGCTACAACAGTTCTCAAAGGAACTGGGTTTCAACTCCTGCTCTAATGTGTTCTTGAATATTTTATATGGGGTGGAACAGTTTCAAAAGATATGGTTGTTATCTGAAAAAAAAAATTGGAATATGCAGTACTTTCAGGCTCAAGATAGTGACCTAAGATGAGCTCTCTAGAACCAAACCTCTTCCCCAAATCTGAAGTTGAATTTGTTTCTCTCACATCATTCACAAAGGCTTTAGCACCAAGACTACTTGACATAAAGATCAGGTTTCATAATCTAGCCTATTTTTCATCATGCCCTGCAAACAGATGAAGTGGGCAAGCCTGATGACTCCCATGGTTTCCCCTTTCAGTTTGTTGCAATGTTCCATAATATGTGATTTCCGTCACTTATTTTCCTATGTGCTTCTTCACTGATATTAATGGTATTTGTGACTGGGTCAGAGAAGCCTGCTGCAAATAAACTCTTGTTGTAATTGCTTGTTTGGTTTTGCATTTGTATATTTCCTTAGGATAACAGCCTTTGGGAAACGCTCTCTGGTATTGCAGAGCACTCAGATATTGTACAGGGTCTAGGACAAATTACTCTAAATGAGGTTATTAGGTGCCATGACCCCAGAGTGTGTACACCTACAGTCACACAGCTGATGGTACCTAAATAGTGACAGAAAATCCACTAGCAGCATTATTAATAAGAATTATACTATACTGCCTGTCAAAAATACACATGCAAGATTAAAAACTTCATGGATGAGCTGTATGAATGGAAAAGACTCAGCAGGAGGATGTTAGTTGGAGGCAGCAGGTAATGGGGCAAATATTCCTTTTGCTAGCTTATTTATGAAAAACCTAACTGCAAAGGATAATTGTACTCTTAATCTGTGGTATGAGTTCCATAACTCAGTCCCTCAGACTGAAACCTCCAAATTAAACGTGCATTTTCAGGGCCTTCATCTTTTGTTCTTCAGAGCAAACCTGGGGGTACTCTCAAGATGACTGCCTAAGTCACTCCTTTCACTGTTGAACTGTCCATCATTGATCCCTTACTACTCCAGCAGCATTTTCAATTCTTCTTTCACTTCCCTTTCTGTGCCAGGGTATATTGGGAAAGAAAAAAAGGGGCAACAGAGTGGGGAGGAGGGGGGTTGAGGTAGGAGTGGTGTATGTTTGAAAGCATCCATGAGACACGTGCCAGATGAGGATGAAAAAGACTGAAATATTTATTTTTTATGTAATCAGAAGTTTTTATTTGAGAATGTGAGAAATGTTTCATCACTGCAGAATTGAGATTTTAAGGCATTTTTTGGACTTTGCTGTTGGTTTTCGGGTTTGGTTTTGTTGGGACTTTTCTTTTAATTCAATGATCTAAAAAAGAGAGAAATTTCTGAGCTTTGATTTAACCATGAGTATACATTTTCTTAATTTTTAAGAACTGGAAACATCTGGGTTCAGAAGAAAAAAAATCTCAGATTCCTCAAATACTAAAGAAACACTTTTAAAATTAGATTTGGAAGTAAGATTTATTTTTCTTAGAGAAACAGGATCATTGAGGTTGGATGGGATCTCTGGAGATCTATTCCAATACCACTGGTCAGGTATTTTTAACTGCAGGCTCTCTTCTAGGACTGTGTCCAGTTGGATTTTGAATATCTCCCATGAAAGAAGCATTAAAACTACTCTGGGTAACCACTTCTGTTGTTAGAGGACCCAGAAAGATTTTTCTGACCTTGAAATGGAATTTTTTATAAACCAGTTTGTTCTTCTTGTCCTGTCACTGGATACTACTGAGGAGTCTGTCCCTGCTTTACTCAACCCCCTTCCATCAGGGATTTATACACACAGATACATGCATATGATGCCCTTGAGCCTTCTCTCCTCCAGCCTGAACAACTCCAACTCCCAGCTTTCACTCGTAAGACAGATGCTCCAGTCCATTAATCACATTTGTGGCACTTTTCAGGACCCACTCCAGTATGCCTGTATTTCTCTTGTCCTCAGGAGCTCAGTACTGGGCACAGCACTTCAGATGTGATCTTACCAGTGCTAGAGAGCAAAACCCAGTAATTTTCTCTGTAGTCTTCAGATGCAATTCCCACTGAGATGACTGAAGACCTGGTTGTGCAAGAACAGACATTATAACCCTTGAAGTGTCAGCTCCTACTCTGTCTTGCTTCTAACTGTGGTCCCACATATATAAATTATGTACATATTAGTTAAAAAAAAAAAAAAATAAGAAATTAATAATGGCTGCTAAGCATTAGGTCAGAGAGCATTTTTTTGTAAATGCCTTGGAAGCACACGTATGAGCTAAAATATATTACCTAGAACTAATCAATGACAAAGCAACAGTAATTGAAAACCAGCAATAAAATATTTTCCACTGTTCATCACAGCTGAATCAACACAGTGCACAAACAGCCCATTACTGATAATAGGTTATTTCTACACAGCTTTCAAGAGGCCAGGCCAGTGAACCCCATAAATCTGATGTGCTTCCTGATTCTGTCTATGCCCTTTGTATGTGAATAACCCTACAACCTACAGCTCACCTCCTGCTTGTCAACTCATGTGGTTCAGTGCAGTGTGTTCACAGCACATGAGGCCACTCTGAACATGGCCCCTGTACCTGCCTCCTCTCCACAGCTTGTCAGTGCCATGAAGATAGATGAGCTAAGGGAGGCTGGTGTGCTGCATGAAATACATTGAAATTCGTATTTCCTTTCCTCCTACCTGTACTTATATCCACTCTTGAAGTATCTTCAGGACCTTGAAGAAGTCAGTCATAAATTAGATAATTTTTACACCAGCCCCTCCTGATCTTTGTTGTTCTTTTTATGGCCCTGGAGTTTGTCCTGCAATTGTCTCCTGAAATACTTTTACTAACCCTTACTCACTTGATAAAATATGGAGTAGAATATCTACCCACCCACTTCCATGGGCATCTGTAATTCCCATGTCATCACGTACTTTCCACCCTATCTTTATGGTCAGGCAGTGTCCTGTGTTTATGATCTTCAGTAGCTCCTATCGGAAAATGAAAAAATGTGAGCGATAAGGGTCAGAGTCATGCTCAGCTTCTAAAAATGCAGAAGTCAAGTTGGGGATGGGGTTAGAGAGATAAAGGCAAGCCTAGGCACCATGACCTCCTCCTTTGGTGATACAGGAGCTGAAGTGGGAGCAGAGGCTGGGAGTATTTTAATACGTCCTCAAACCCTTCTTAGTCAGCAACAGCAACCAGAGAAAAGGCAGTGCAGATAGTGCATGATAAAGGATTTTGGGGTGCCAGGATAGGGATGTGCACTTGGGAACAGCTAATACTCATTCCTTCAGGCACAGGCAAAATGCACTATTTCCCCTTGCAGGCCTTTGCCTAGACAGCCTTCTGCTGCTATTTGTGTCAACAATATATAAACAACATTAAAGCTCTATTCACATTAAAGCTTGTTGGTGGCAGCAATGACATATGGCTTCTGTCTTTGCAGTTTTAGCAGAGTGCTCAGTCTCTGCTGCTCTGTACTAGTCACCTGGGAAGCAGCAAGGCAGGAAGCCAGACATCCCTGTTGACAGGGTGGGGACAATAGCATCTGTGCTCAGTAGATTAAAACCAGTTCTGCTGCCCCAGGACCAGCCTGGATCTTGTGAGCCACATACTTCTTATGCTACATATTGTGTGATATTTTACATCCATGAAGCAAAGAGAGGAAATGTGCTGGTTTGATGAGCTCTGTAACTCTATTGGCAAGGTAGACTATGGTTCTCACTAAACTGAACTCTCTTAAATGGCATTAAACTGCTTCTTATGTAACTTTCTCAAGTAACTTGTAACTTTCTTCAGCAACAATAAGTAACAAAAGACTTTAAAAACCTTTAGGTCATAGAGGAGTGATTGGTTTATCTTGGGCCACAAATTAATATATGTTCTTTATTTTTGCTACACATGCAAGGAAAATACAATCTGTATTTTTTTGCCTGTAAAAGTGTCTCCACCATTGAGTCCAAGAGCACACACAAACAGGCTTGAACCTGATTTGGCAAACTAAGCATTTTTCAATGTTAACTTCTGTCTTATTTTTATTATATATACATAAAAAAAATAAAATAAAATCAGAATTGGACTACTTCAGATTTGTTGTCATTGCCTAACTTAGGGTAACAGTCCAAGACATATCCAAATGGCCAGACATTTGTTGGCTCATGCTATCCTCACATGGTGGAGGGATCTGAACTGGAGCTGACATCTCTTAGCGTGGGGTTAACATCATTCTTATCATAGGAATGTGCTCGTCCTCCTACATTCCCTCTCCTACTCTGTTATGTGGCAGTACCTTAGTCTGCACTGGCAATTCCTGTCCCTGAACCAGGAAACTCATTTCTATGCGGGACTGAGTTGAATGTTTCAGTGCCTCAGTTCAGGATGTGCCCCTCAATTTCTGTGCAAGTTTTTAGTTGGGTCTCTGTGCCTCATCTACCTAGAATAGAAGGTATAAGTTTAATGTTTTCTGTACTTTGGAAATGAGAACAGAAATAGACATTCCAGGGATGGATCAGATTGAATAAAATAAATAAATATCATGCCCACAACTTTATTATATCACTCTGGATATTATTTTAAATTTGCAAATTATGCCAGGTTTACTTCTGTCTACTCTTGGCAAAACCTATTAGTTTTGTGCTTCAATCAAATAGTTTTATGTAACCGTATCCCTTAAGCATTCATAAACATTAACAGCATTATAATTTTAATGGTAAGTTTTAGGTAATAGATGCAAGGCAGAAGATACTATTGGATGTAACAAAATCATCCAGATCCTGGCTGACAAATACCCAGAATTTAAAAACTGTGTCTGCACTACAGACGATTTCTGTAGCATCAAGACTTTGCTTGGCAAACAGTGCAGCATTGATAAAGGTAATAAGTATAAAGTTTAATTGTGAAGAACAAAAAGAAATACTGTTTTGTAACCCTAATTTTAACTGGGCTCAAGTTTAATTGCATATTTTTTCAATCTGATAATTCCCCCCTAAAAAACATTTTTAGTCTTTTCTATGATATTCTCCCATCAACATGGATTTGAAAACAATACCATGTCTGCTTTAACTTAAAACCGATAAAAGGGATGTGAAAAATTAAAATGGTTTTTAAATCTCTTGCTAAATCCAATGGAAAACAACAGTGAAAATACTGTGTGTGTTGAGGGTTACTTGTAGCCCTAGGAGACTTGGGCACCACTGGATCTATGTTATGTATAGAGAGCCACACCCAGTCACCCTGTGAATGGGATTGTTGGGGAACAGGGATGCATAGTTGTGTGGTTGTGTCACATTGTGTCACAAAAACATCTTCACTACATCCAGGAGTGGTTACTGGATGTGTAAACACAGTTACTGCATACAAAGTGGTACTTTGTGATATATAAAGTGCAACCTTTAAAAAATTCTTCTAGTCAATGGGCCTAGATCCTTTACATGTATTTTTTTATTATCCTGAGAACTCCTTTTCCTTCAGAAAACCTATATCTATTCTTGAAAATTACTTGTTACTTGAAAGGATCAGAGATTCTGATCCAATATCTCCTGGATTAATGATTAGCAAAGCTGACATAAGTAAAATCAGCCAGAGAATGAAAGTCTGGAGAGTGTGCCCCAAGGCTGATTTCCAGCTCTGATCCATCACTCCTCACTGGCACCAGTCAGCGTGCATCACATAGTACTAGCATATATGGTTTTATTGCAGAGGATATAATAATATCTTGATCCATTACCCCTTGATCCAAACAAGAGTGAGTATCTAAAACCTGACATTGATGTCATTGGAACAGTTGCTTTTGCTTCCAGCTAAATGAAGTAATTTTGTATTTTTTGCTGATTGAGATTACATTTCTCACCAGTAGAGCAAAAGTTTGGATGGAGTTACACTAGTATTTGTTTTACCTACACATGATAGCTTATGGCTTTGGCACATACTGTAAGGAGTAATTCTCCCTGTCAGTCTTAAATGGTTATTTTAGGTAATGAATTAACTATCTTCTGGAACTGTCATGCTCTTTTTACAAATCAGGTGTTGAATTAAGGTGGCAATCCATGATATAACCAATCTTTAGATGGTTAAGATCATGTGAGATGAATCCCTTTATGCAGCAATTTTAGTGAGGGTTTCTTGTATTGCTGTTAGCAGCAAAGTTGTTAAAGTGGACTGCATTGTCCAGCTATCAGGAGACAGTAAGCATGAGGAAGTGTTCTTAGTCTGTAAGACTACAAAATTATGTATTTATGTACATCTTAGAATGAAAATAGGGCTGTTTAATTGAATTTATTACATTAAGACAACTACTCTATTCTTGAGTTTGTTTTGAGCTGGCTAGTGATGATACTTCATCGTCTATTTGATTTATATCTCTGCTTGTACCTGTATGTACAGAATACGTGGAAACTTCCTCAAGATCAGGTATGGAACTGAGTTTTAGGCAACACAGAACCCCAAAGACCAAAGCCACCCAGAAGCATTATGGAATGACTGCAGTATTGCAAAACAACGCTGTCGAGGAGACCCTTACTATTTTCTAGTGTCTAAGAGCTTCCAATGAGTGTGCCAGGCAGACACAGCAAAATGCAGGTTCCAATGGTCAACCAAGAATGTTTGTCAGTGTGGAAAGAACTGAGAAAAACAGTGCTGGGAGAGTGTAAGTGCTCAGAGCCACTTCAGATGAGATGTGTGAAAATATGGAAGGGAATGTTTAACAACCCTTGTTTACGGTACTCCAAAGACAGCCAAGCTTCAGCAGTGAGTGAATAGGATGATGGTGACCATCATGATGCTGATGTTGATGATGAGAAAAATCAAGACACTGGCACAGGTTAGCGGTATTCCAGCAGTTTGAATGCTTTCATACGTACAGTACTGTTCAGATCTGCAAAAAAATTTCTTAATAATTTGTAGTTTCCATTTGAAATGTGGTAGTTTTAAGAGCCTTATTTAGATGCAAATGAATAATCTGATAGCAAAAAGGTAGCCTGAGTACTATGTGTTAATTTCATAGAATCAAAGGATATCTTGGGTTGGAAGGGACCTCTAAAGATCATCTAGTCCAATTCCTTGACAATAGGCAGGGACATCTTCAGCTAGAACAGATTGCTCAGAGGCCCATCTGGCCTGACCTTGAATGCCTCCAGGGATGGGGCCCTCACCACCTCTCTAGGCAACCCATTCCTGTGATCCACCACCCTCAAATTAAATAACTTTTTTCTAATGTCCAAACTAAATCTACCCTTTTCTAGCTTAAAATCCAAACAATCTGATCCAATCTGATACAAATCTGATAGAAACTGATCCAAATCAGTCCCTTCTTTTATTACACTATAACTAGAATCAATATAAGACCAATAAAAACAATTTTCTAATGGCAAGAATTGTCTGCCTGCCTTGACTTTAGATAATGACAAAGAGTTGAGCTTGAAAACTGGCTGCACTGATGCCTCTGGCCTTTATTTATTTACAGGGAACCTGACCTTATACTGACTGCACTGAGAAGCTCTAAAGATCCTTCCTGTGCTCATAGGATCTATAATTATCTAGAGAATGTTATCAGCAGCCATTGATAAACTGTGTTTTCACCCCAAAACTTGTGAATGTATGTAACAATGCTTTTAGAGTTTATTAATAAGCTGACATCCCATTTGGTCAAGTTAATACATTTTATTCTTGTTTATTTCTGCTACTGGCACTATGCCAGCAACACAGCCTATGCTTATGAGTTAAAAACTGAGCAAAGACATGATTTACCACTTACCATCTCTTCTTGTTTTAGACACTATCAGTATGGAAGCAAAATTACAATGGAGTTTATCTGCCCTCACCAAACAGGGTAAGTTTGAATTTACTTATGAATCCTAGTAACTGGTTTTATCTCTGTTTGCAGATAGTGTACCATGTATCTTGAGATTAAAATTAATAGTTTTCATTCAAATTACTGAAGAGCAGAGTCAACAGATCCAACATATTTTCAGTTAAGCTACCGAGTAAATAAGAATCTAAAAATGTCAGGTAACAATTTATCTAGGTCTTTTTGGGATAGTTTTAAAACCATAGAAATTACATTTCTATTCTATTCTCCATCAGTTATGTAGCCTAGCATAAGACTGCATGCTGGAGATTTCAGCAGTTTCAGGTATCCAGTAACTTCCAGAAACTGCCACATGCTATGAAGAAGCTGCCATCTTGCCAGTTTTCACTTTCTTCTCCCTCAGTTACCTGGCAGGGGCAAAAACTTGCAGGACGTTTTCTTATGAGGCCCAAACAGCTGAAGGGAGAAATATGAAGAACACACAATGGGATTAAAACAGGAACACTAGAAGAGCTTTTAGGACTCAAACTTGTTTTTAATGGGAATATTACAGGCAGGGTAATATGCCAAGCATCACTTAGGCTTTCATGTGATTTAATTTTAAAAACTGTTGTTCTTTTTAGCATACACAGCAGACAGAACCTGTTTGGATGTGAACAAGGAGTGTGTTGAAGATGCAGTATGTAACAAACAGTTGTCCCTGTACCTTAAGGTTTGCTCAGTAAATAAGAAGTGCAACATGGAAGAATGTCAAGCAGCCATAAGGTTCTTCTATCAAAACATGCCTTTTGAAGTTGCCCAAATTATGACATTTTGTGATTGTCCCCAGCCTGATGAATCCTGCCACAGAGCCAAAGAACTGCTCCATGGCAAGCCCTGTGCGGTTTCTGCAGTTCCACCCCCATCATGCCTGAATGTAATTCACATGTGTGAAGAGAATGAATTGTGCAGGTAATTAGAAGAAACATTTTGCTTAGTAATGTGCCTGTGAATAAGGATTTGATCCAATAATTTTTATATATATGCCATATATAGCATCTATAGCCAAAAAAGATTCCTCACTGTGTGTATTGTATATTACTGCTTGTACTTCACATCTTCACAGGTGTCTGCATCAGCCATGGCAATGCCACAAGTAATTCCACAAGTAAACTGAAAGTTTTCATTTTTTGAAAGGTCTAGAATCTGATGTGGACTTTGCTGCTGCCTTTTTCTTGACTCTTAACACTATTTCCGCCGCACAAACTATGCTGTTACATGTTTTCATTACTGTCTTCTTCAGATAACACCTACCAGCCTGCATCTTTGCCCTCCAGCAGTTTGCACAAATTGTGCAGCAGACCAGACCAAGTTTGTTTGGCTAAAGTAATTACCTCTTCCACCACAGAGCCTGACCCTTTGTACCCAAAGACCCTACAGTCAAATTGACCTCTTCAGAAAACTTACCTAAGTATTTTCATCTCAAATCTATCAATACTTGAAAAAAGTTTTCCTGAAACATGCACAGACCACCAAACTCATGAAGAATAACACTTTCTAGATTTTACTTGATTTTAGAAAACATGCAACAGGATTAGCCCATATTCATAGTTCTACTTAATTGCCACCATTTGTGGATGGTCAACTGGTCAACTTCGGTTTTCAGTGTATTCACCCTTGTGGATCCGACCTGAATTTTACCTTACAGCTGTGCTCAAAGTAACCTTCATTCAACAAACCAGCAGGCCAAGAGACTTTTTCAGTTCTGTGCAAGCTATTCAGATTGATGTCAGTGGGAATTGCCCCTTTTTATGTCAAGAAGAATTGGGCTACAAATGTATGTCTGTGAATGTGCATGTGCACACATGTAATATCATAATGGAGATGTGTTGAATTACCCATTATTTTGGGAACATTAATGTTTCCTGGCACTGACAAGACGTGATTATAATTAGCAAAATTAGTCTGTGAATTATGGCTAGCCATATCTGTAAACAATGAGATGAATAAAAATGAATCCATTAGCACAGAAGTGGCATCTGCTTTGAAGCCTTTGGTTGTATAATGAAAATATTTACAATAATATCCTAGCTGGTATAGTAACAGCCCATGTTTTTCCATGTAACTTGCTTGTTACAACTACAAAGTATCAACATTAAATTAACAGCCTAATTTTATTATTAAGGAAATAATGCTTAAATATATTAAGGTACATTATACAAAAACAGCTTACCTTTATCATCCACTAACATTAATATAAGCACTAAATTCGTTTCTAATTAAAGTCTACAGATTTCTTTGTTAACTTTTAATATATGTTTTCTATTAGTACATTAAAAGCCAATTTTATTCTATTTGAAGAGCAAACAAACTGAAATAATATTGAACTGGGAAAGAAGTTAATTATTCTCATACCTTATCTCTGTTAGGAATTACTCTCTAAGGTCAACTGCGTTACTTCAAATTTTTCCTGAGTCTTGGACATTTTGTATTTTATTAGCATTTACAAGGAGCAGGGGTTAGCAGTGGATGTAGATTATTTTATGTTGAATATTCATTATTCCTTCACACTGCCCAACAAACTGATCCACTGGAACGACATCTGTTTTGGTTTCATTGTGATAACTGGTCTAACTCCTCTATCTGCATTTCTTCTCTGAGGATCTGAAACTGTTAGTATTCATACTGATGTTTGTTGGACCCTGGGGAAATCTCCACAGGCACTGATTAGAAATGCAGTTGTCTTTCTTGAAAACTTTTTCAGTTTTACTTTTTTTACTTTTCCTCAAATTACTAATTTGCAGATCTCACTCAAACCGAATAGGTGCAAATCAAAGCAGAATTTAGTCCAGTTGTCAGAGAATATTGTGATTATTAAGACTTAGGTGGTACCTTGGGAATACACAGTCATTGTATATTTATTTTTTTCCCCCCAACAGAAAAAAATACAAAACTTTTCATTCAAAGTGTTGGAGACATGTGACAAAAAAATGCTACAATGATGAAGCTTGTCTTGAAACTTTAACCAAGGGTGACCTGCCGTGTTCTGCAAATGCTGCTTGCAAAGCAGCCTACGTCGGCAGCTGGGGCACAGCCCTGCGCATGGAGTGCACCTGTCAGAACCTCCCCCCCGCGGAGCAGTCCTTGTGCAAGCTCTTCCACCACATGCTTCACAGCAAATCCTGCTTCAGCGAGTTACGTGAGTAACACATAATGTTTGAAAGAATGATTAAAGAGTATTAAAATGATGACTTACAACAAATCTTTACTGTACCTTTGCTACCACTGATTTCACCAAGATTTATATCTGCTTTTTTAAAAATTATGGAATTATTTGGATTGGAAAGGACCTTAAAGATAATCTAGTTCCAACCCCCTGCATGGGCAGGGACACCTTCCACTAGATCAGGTTGCTCAAAACCAACCTTGCCTTGAACACTTCCGAGGAATGGGCGTCCACAACTCCCGTGGGCAACCTGTTCTAGTCCCTCACCAACTGCACAGGAAATATTTTATTTCTTAACATCTAATCTAAATCTACCCTCTTTCAGCTTAAAACTGTCCACCTTTGTCCTATCACTATAAGCCCTTGTGAAAAGTCTCTCCCCAGCATTCCTGTAGGCCCCTTCAGGTACTGGGAGGCCACTATCAGGTCCCCCTGGAGCCTTCTCTTCTCCAGGCTGAACAACTCTGACTCTCTCAGCCTGTCTTCTTAGGAGGGGTGCTCCAGCCCTTTGATCATCTTCACAGCCCTCCTCTGGGCTCCAGCATCTCTATGTCCTTCTTGTGTTGGGGGTAAATTGCACACGCATTTTTTTTTCTCAGGTTTTGAGGAATATTTTCTAATATTAGTAAACCAATAACATTGACTAAATATTATGAGATATTATATTGGTTGTTTCCTTCTTTTCTTCTTGGAGTCTAAATATAAATTACACGCATTTAGCAACCAACAGTATTCCACAGAAAATAACTTCAGTGATTTAAATAGGAACTTTCAAAGAAAAAGCTGCTGTGAATGGAGGCTTCAGAATTAGGCCCTGGGTTAACTCTGGTGAAATGTGTGTACTATCCCAGAACCAGAAAGGCCTTTCATGAGCCAAATCAGCTACTTATTTTTGTGAAATATAAAAACCCTTGCCAAGGTGGGAGACAATTGTTTTGTTTAGGAGAGAATTCTTTTAATTGTTTAAGAGAATTGTTAGTAAAATGAATGGTAACGTGGGAGAAAATATTGATGTTTTAGTCTGAACCAGAAGTGTGTAAACCCTCTGCTTGTCACTACTTACTGTGCTGTGAGTCACATCATGGGGTGGTCTCTGTAGTCCTGTAGTCTAAAACTGAACCTGAAGGTTCATCTGCCACCTCTGCAATGCTCCAGGTACGTCTAGGCATCTCGTCCATGGACCAGATTAAAGACTAAATACACTTTTCTCCTCATATCTCTGATTTACCGCACTAGTTATTTTGCTATATAAATCCTCTTAGGATACACTACTTGCTAGTGCATCTTAGCCTGTACTAGTCATCTTCTAAATGTAATTACTTATATTCTTAACCTAGCTTGGGAAAGGTAACTATATATAAAGATGAAAAACAATTACTATTTCATAGTTCTACCTGACAGACTGACTTTTAAAACATGCAGTAATTACATGCATGCATTTCAATGAATGAATTAGCCATTTTTTTTCGTTTTAGCAGCCAAAATGTTACCACTGATAAGAGTGCAATTTCTTTCTTGTCACTCAAAATCTACTCAGAAATTAAAAACAAGTTGTTGAAACACAGCCCTTAAGCTTAGTTACTAACTGTTAAAATTCAGACTCTGAGAAAAGTTTAAAAATCATATAACAAGTCATCTGGAAAAGTGATACCATAACACCCCTAGATTTGAGACTGCTGGCGGTGATTTTGCTGATGCATGTTATTTATTTGTTTGCTTGCTTTATGGCTGTATTTAATGGTCCAAATAAATGATCACATCATTGTGTTAGTCATTCTTTACCTACTAAGCAAAAAATTACCCTCCTGTCATAATAATAATATAATTGCTCACAAGCTTTTGTTATTCCCTGAAGCAGCCTCTGGATAAAATGTTGGGTTTTTTGTGATGGAAAATTCCCTAACCTAATTGGGACTGAAGAACAGGAGCTCGCTCACTCTGTAGCTCAACAAATTCCTGCTAGCTAAACCAAAACAGCTCAGGGATCGTGGGTCTTTGGCTAAGTATAGGGTTGGCACCTACTCTACAGGACATTTGTAAAGTGTTGGGAATCTTGCTTTTGTTTTTTCTTCATGTCTAGTTGTAATGCAGCTAGAACAAACAGAGAAATGGTCATGAGTTTGACTGTAAGGTGCAGAGTTAATTGTCTTTGTCTGCATGGCAGTTCAAAGATTTGGAGTGCGTGCTCTGTTGCAGAGCTCATCCAACCCCTTCTGCAAACTCATTCACCAGGCCTGGGTGTAAACTTCAAATGACTTTTTTTACAGTGATTATGATTTTTAACATTGAAGTCCTTCTGAACAGGCAAATATCCACGGCTCTGCAAAAGTGATACTTGTTTCTAGGAGCGGTGTCAACAGACCTGCAAGTGGTATTTACACCATCATGTCTTCCTACTCTTGTATGACACTGCCTTGCTACAAGTGTTTGCTCTTGGGGCTGTGCTTACAGGATGAAAGCTTGTTGCAGACTCAGAGCTGTACCTTTGAATCTCACAGAAAAAAAACCCCAAAACATTGCCAGGAGATTTAGCCCATTGCTATTTAGACCATGTTCCAGGCTGCAAACATGAGTCTTTGTCATATTATTTTAATTGCTCTAGGGAATAAAAATGCCTCAGCTTACAGTTGATGTGAGTGACCATGCATCATTTTTTATGGTTTAGCCTCTTGCTCTGTAAACTACTGTATGTAGGAAAAAACTTCTATTTTTCATTTCAACAGAATATACATATTTTCAGATGCACTCATGAAATTAGACACATTAAGAGGACAGGCCTTTGTGAAGGAGTTGATTGAAGTGTAGCAATTAATTTGGAGAATAAGCTCTTCCTTTTGGAAAATACTTCAAACTACTGCCTGTTTTTCATTATTTCTAGATCGGTTTGGTGGACCCAATTCTTTAGTGGCCTTTTTTTCAAATAGTATATATGAAAGAGAAATTAATCTGTTTTGAGGCAAAGAGTATTTTTAAAGCACACTTGTCCCCCATAAGGCAAGCTACAGGGGATGTTTAACTGAGATGTCAAAAGAACACTCATTCACCCAACCACTCATTAACTTTGTACATCTGATATCAGTAAACCACATTTTTAAATAGATTAATTTATAAATGATATTACTTTTATCAATATATGAAACAGTAATATTAACTTTAATTATTTTAAAGTCATATTTTGAATTGTTATTTTCTTTCCAATATTCAGGTCAAATTTCCATTGAGAAGAAAAATTTACCTTGGGTAAATACAGAAATGCCAGGAGAAAAGCTTTCCAGAGCACATCTCCACTCTTCTTCAATTAGTGGTGAGTTTGGGCAAAACACTGCTTGATTTTCTTAAAAGTAGTCTTGAAATTTCCCTTGTGAAAGACTAGAGATTTGGTCCTTTGGGTGGGTTCAGCTCTACCTGTTGCATCCCTATTTGAAAGAACATGGAAAAATCTCTCTACCTGGTTGACTTAGCTTATATTACCACCAAATAAATATAGTGAGACTGAAGCAATTTCTCTGAGAAGTGGTTTTGAAATAATGTCTCACAGATGTTATCTTATAATGGAGGGAAATTAAGCTATTAAACCCACCAGAGCCTGACTCTCCATACAGTCATCAGAGAGTAGTAGTCATAATGTGTAATACAAATTATTAGCTTTGCTGTCACACCTGCTTCTCTGCTACCCCTCTTGACTTTTTGTCCCAGAGTAGTTACAGCAATGAAATAACAAAGCCACATTAAGTGGTTTGAGAACGGGCTTGTGTTCCACTCCACCAGACTTTATCTTCTCATGCCACAGAAGAGCCTGCAATTGTGGATCATGATATCCCATGTGCTGAAGAGCTGCATCTGGTTTTATTTCCATGCATTTACAGTAAGCAATTAAGTGACAAAGTTAAAGCATATTGAATTAATATACAAATCTTCTCATAGTTGAAATTATATTAATTTTATTACCTTTTGAAGGACCCAATTACAGAGTGAGAACACTAAAGAGCTTAATGCATAAATATTGACTCTAATGAGAATGACCTGTTCTGCCTTGCGTGGGGCAGATTACAATGCTCCAGACATCACTACAAATTAGTTCCCAGAACTGTTCACACTGAACACCTTTAGCACTGAAAAAAATAATTTAAGCTCTGTATTCAGTACAAAATGGAGCAGCTTATATCATCTCGATCCTTCAATTATTGCTGACAGGGGCAACCTGAGAAGTATAAAAATAGTTTAATGGGAATGAGATTCCTGAGACCTGTATGTTAATAATGAAGCACTCAGCTGTAATTCTAACATTAAAATTACTTAAGAATCATGCATGTCATCCAAGTGCTATGCGTAGCCAGAGAAGAAAGTCAGAAACTCTCGTAAGAAGATTAATCCCACCTTTTCAGACTGTCTTTGCTGGAAGTGTTGGGTTCTCTTTGCCAACTATAAGGGGAGCCTGAATCTCAAGCCGGATCAAGACTCTAGCAGTTAAATAATGCAAGTTATAATGCAAGAAATCCTGCTCCAAGTGAGAAAATGTAAAATGCGAGATATTTCACCCCTGTGACTAGTCCTAACTGCAGACCCCTTCAGTGAGTAAAATGTATTATACATTTCCCTCAGAGATTCAGATAAATATTTGCAAAAAGCAGCCTGCACCCAGTTCATCCTATTCCCATTGAAGTTTGAATACTTTTAAAAAACCTGCCCTTGAACTCTTAACAGAATTTTGGATGGCCTTAGAAAAATAAAAAGAATGGTGTCCAGCCTAAGCCATACAATAAAATATTCCTTCTATTGGAGCTGTCATGTATACTGAGCTGGGATATCTCTACACTATAAATGTCTCATGAGAAGCCAGGTCAAGATGAAGAATCTGATTCAGGATATCTACCTGATGATAAAAACCATATTGCAAATTGCTTCATAAATCCCACTGCCAAAAATCTAACCCAGTATCCTAGGCTCAGATGACAGTAAATATGCATTGCTGAGACTGCAA